ATTCACAATTGCAAAGAAGTGGAAACAACCCAAGTGCCCATCAATACATGAGTGGATTAATAAAATGTGGTATATGTATACCATGGAGTACTATCCAGCTATAAGAAACAATGGTGATATAACACCTCTTGTATTTTCCTGGATAGAGCTGGAACCCATTCTACTAATTGGAGTATCTCAAGAATGGAAAAACAATCAGCACATGTACTCACCAGCAAACCGGTTTCACTGATCAACACCTAAGTACACATATAGGAATAACATGCATTGGGTGTCAGGCAGATGGGAGGGGAGAGTGGGGATGGGTATATACATACATAATAAGTGTGAATTGCACCCTCTGGGGGATGGACACACTTGAAGCTCCGACTGGGAGGGAGGGCAAGGGCAAAGTAACCTAAACATTTGTACCCCCACAATATGCAGAAATAAAAAAAAATGACCAGCATAGTACTTTATAATCTGAGAAAAGTTCTTTAAAGAAATGCATACACAGGGAGAAGGAGAAATGGGAAAAATGGAAGAAATGTGGTTCCCTATTGTGATATACCCTTGAATTTCCTCAGGTGAGGCATTTACGTAGGACAGAGAAGCAAAGACACAGGAATCAGCGCCTAGAAGAGCAGAGAGGCTGAAAGTCCGATTTAGTCTCCTCTCTCTCCCTCACACCCACAGCCCCTCCCCCCCGCACTACAACAGTATCAACTCTGTTTCTCAAGATTCCCTTATCTCTGCCATTGCTTGTCCTGTTTTCACTCATTTCTCTCTATCCTAAACCCTCATTTTCTTTGTCTTCCTCTGAGTCTCTATTTCTGCCTCGAATCGCCCCCATTCTTTTCTTCAGTCTCTCTGTCCCTGTCCCCAGGTCTCAGTGTTCCCATCTCTCTATGTGTCCCTGCCTTTCTTCCAGCCATAAGCTGCATTTCTGGCCCCTCCAAAAGATTATCCTTTCCCCTGCGCTGGATGTCACCTCATCCACCCTCCCTGTCCCTGTCCATCTCTCTGACCTGGCCAGATGAAGAGCTGATCAGTGATAAGGACTGGTAGAACAGGTTCAGCAGCCTCAGAAACTCTTCATCTTTGTAGTCAAAGCGTTTTCCAAAGACAAGGGAGCAGATAATGTTGGCAGTGATGCACTGGAAGAGGAAGGCGGGGTCCAGGAGGGCTCCTAGGAGGAAGAAGAGACAGCAGATCAAGGGACATGGGCACAGAGTTTGGGGAACCTCTGGCTGTCCCACTTCATCTCTGTGTGACTGTTCGGTGTCGCTCAGTCATGATAAACACAAGAAAAACATCACAGCCGACGCTCACTCCCATTGTCCATTGGGCCCCATTCTAAGCACTTCACATATCATTTTATCTACTCTCACCGTAACATTGTGAAGTACATGCTATTCTACTGTTTTCCCCATTTTATAGCTGGGAAAACAGAGAGTTTAAGTAATTTGACGAAGATTACACAGCTGCTCATTGTGGGGGCCAGGATTCCAATGTAGGCAGCCAAGCTACAGGGTCTGTGCAGTTGGTCCTCACCCTGCACCTGTGAGCTAAGAGGGTTTTAAGTCCCAGGGGCAGAGGTGTGGCAGAGTAGATGTTCGGTCAATTGCTCGTGCAAATTAAAAAGCCCTGATCTCTCTATCCCTATTGTGACTCCCCTCTTCAATGCTTTTATCCACACCTGGGGCTCTCTGGGCATCATGAGTTGCTCTGCACCTCTTAGTTGGTGTCTGTGCACACAGGCTCAACCCTAGCCCCGTAAGCACATGAGAACACCAGGTTGCTGTGGCCTCTGTCTCTGGGTCTCACCTGTCTTCTCTCTTTTCTCTGCAGAACTTTTCCTGAGCCTCGTCTGTCTGTGTCCCTAATTTTTCCAGCCTCCATTTCTCTCTGCTGTCATTTCTTTCTGCCTCCCTGAGTCCCTCTCCCTGTGTGTCTGTGCACATCTCTGCGTGCCTTTCTCTTTGTTTTGGTCTCTGCATCGTCATCTCTTTCTCCTTTCCTGTCTCTCTACCCATGTCTCTGTCTCCTCCTGTCTTTCTTCTCAATCCCTCTGTCCCTGCTCCCTGTTGCCCCCATGTCTCTGCCTCCCCATCCCAAAATCTCTCAAGAGGCTTCATAAGAGAGATGGTAAAGACCTGCCATAATTTAGACAAAAGTGCAAAGAAAGGACCCTGTCACCTGTATGTCCCATAAATACACACTTATGCAGAATTAAAGAACAACCAAAAGTGCTTCCTTGATGCCCCCACTGGCTGCCGGAGAGCAGAGCACCCACCTGGCCTCTTTGATCACGGGCAGCTCCTCAGCAAGTCACCCAAGGAAAGGAAAATACTTTTCCTTATCTTCAAATTGTCTGCAGGTTTCTCTTTTCTCTTTTTGCTCTCTTTTATATGATTTCTGTTTTAGCCTTACATAGATAGAATTAATCCACGAAGTGCTTTCACTGAGCCCAGTAAATAATGCCCTACTCACTAAGTATACATGTTTGAGTTATTTTTAGACACTACACACCTCACACCTTCCTCTTTCCCGGGCTGTCTGTGTTTCTCTCCTGCCAATCTCTGTCCCCTTCCAGTCCCCTGTCTCTCTCTCTTTCCCTGTCTGTCGGTCTGATGGTCTCCCGGGCTCGAGCTCTGGCTCCGCCCACATTTGCCTTTCTATTTTTCTACTGCTGGTCGCCTGCACCTCTCTCTGTTTCAGTTTCCTTCCTGCCACCTCCAGGACTCACCCTTTGATTTCCGCAGCTCCTCCACCAGACACTGAGCCTCCTCCTGAATCCGCTCCCCTACACTCCGCTTTCCCATCCCGAAGTCCTTCATGGTGGCCACAGAGAATCGCCGGAGGGTCTTCCAGCGGTCCATATTGGCAAGGACCACGCCTGGGGTGTGGGGAATTGTGCATTGCAGAGGACATTAGAAAGAGGCTCTGGGTCCTTCTTCACCCATTTTCCCCCTTCGCTGACGCATCCTCCACCCGGCCCTCCCAGTGCCTTGGAGGCTCTCACCATATCTCTGGAAGAATGGCTCCATCATGATGATTTTGCCCCGGCCAGAGAATTCCTCAGCCTGGTCCACCAGGGCCTCCTTTATGGCCTCTATCCCACACAGCATGACCACGGGCCTCCGTCCCAGGTATACCGTGAAGACATCCCCATATTTCTGTCGGAGCTGCCAAGCATACCCACACCCTGGGTTATATGAGTCAGCACACACCTCAGTGGTCAAACTATTAAACACTCACACACCAGACTGGTAATCAGTCATCTTCCCCAGGACCCTTCTCCCCAGGCTGCCTTTTCACCTTCCCAGGACCCAGCAAATAAAGGATAAACCATGGCCCAGCTAAGGTCTGCTCTGATTGGTTGGTGCCCTAAACAGTGCAGGTGATCAAATACTTCTAATGTTACTGCCACCCACATAGCCTTGAGTCTGGACACTTCTCCCTGGCATCACAGCCAAAGAATCATACTCTTCCTTATCAACCATTTCGCTTTCCACGGTTTCAATTATCCATGGACAACAGTGGTCTGAAAATATTAAATGGAAAGTTCCAAAAAGAAACGACTCATAAGTTTTAAATTGTGCACCATTTTGGGTAGCATGATAATACCTCACACCAACCCACTCTGTCCCACCTGGGATGTGAATTGCCCCTTTGTCCAGCATGTCCATGCTGCATACGCTACTCACCTTGTACAATGTGAGTGGTACTATGGCCATTTTAAGCTTTGTCATTTACGGAGAGCTAATTGTTCACTCTGATACTTTTCTGAGCAACTATAAGCCTAACATATTTCATCTTCAAGGAGATTCATGGAAAGGACTCTGACAAATACAGGTTTCTATAATATAACTTTAAGATCATATCAGTGGATGGGTAAGAAATCCCAGATCTGAAGGTTCAAAAAATTGCTAAACCAATATAAAGCTGAACAAAAATTAATTAAATACCAACAAAATGATTTAGCAGATTTTCATGCTAAGTCAGCCAGTACTGAAATTGTCAAGATATGCAACTTGAATTAACTGAGTAAGATTGATTCAAGTCCAATTACTTATGATAAGCTATTTAATAAATAGTGCTATGCACGTGAATTGGAGAAAAAAATTGGTATTTAAGAGGATGGTGATCCAATGGTAAGCATGCAGTCATGGGGACTGGATGGTTTCCTGGTACCTCCTGAGTTATTATAGCTGCCATTATTAAAAGCTCTGCACTCCATGACTCATCATGAAAGAGATAAAATGATGCAAGTTATGAAAAAAATATTGTGACTGTTCTAAGATTGCTAAAATGGTTTATAGCAGTGTTTGGTTTGTGAAGCCCATAATTCTGGGAAGACGATGAAGACCTCAGATGATACATTTCTGGCACCCGAGGTATCATTTGAACACTTGCAGATGGAGTTAACTCAATTGCCACACACAATACATGTTTTCTGGTGGTATAGAAGCTTTCCTACAGAGCAAGGCCAATAATATAACAGTAACTAAAAGGTTATTAGAAATGTATTTCCTTTATGGGGCATTCCTGGAGAAATCACCACTTAAAAGAGTGTTTGTTTCACTGGACAAATTGTAAGACGGTTAAATAAGGTAATACAAACACAAAGTCATTAAGCAAAGATAACTGAATTGACTGGATTGCTTTGGTCAAAGGTATTACTGTGATGGTAATCAGATCACTCCCACAAAAAAACATAGATTGACCCTTATTAAGTAGTTATGGACCTCAAGTCTTGGCTCCACATCTCCCAATTCAAAGGAACTCTGCCAGACTTCTGGAACAGTACAACTGTTGGGGACCTTAAGGTTCAGCTGACCAGGGACGTTTTTCCCCAGAAGGAGAGAGCAGCCTAGATGTGGACAGTGTGCTTGAAAATGCGGATCAAGACTTTTCTGCCATTAGGAAAGCATTATCTTTTTTTCCTTTCTTCCCTATTTCCTGCTGTCCTAATCCCTTCCTTTTCATTACAGAAAAACCCATGAGACCATAATCTGTGGATGGCTTTAGCAAATACTTGTTATGCTCCAGCAAGAAAATCGAGCAATTGTTGGTTTTGTGGGCTAATGGTTGCCAAAAGAGGAAACACTGATGCCATTGCCTCCTTGCGTTCCCAGTGAGAGTCAACCTTAAACCCCAAAGGAAGGGTGGAAAGTTATCCTTGGTATTCTAGACATCACTAATAGTTCCTTTCCTACACTCACTGGTAACAGTACCCTGACCTTTTCAATTCGTAACCTAATTACTATCAAATATAGAAAACTTATGTGAGTGTTACCTGCCAAAGGTATATTGTGCTTCCAGTTGTCACATGCATGAGACCTGGGGACTACCTATGAGGGTGTGAATAATTGCTTGCATCATGATTCTGGATTAATCTGAGTAAGGTCCCTTTGGACTAAATGTGGTTATGCACCCTTACAGCATAGTATGAAAAGATTGCAAAAAAATTAAGCTTCCCACTAGATCTTGTTCAAGAGCTAGGGAGACTTATGGCAGGACAAATTTAACTGACCTCTGCTCAAATGCCACTGAATTGTCCTCTTGTCCAGTCCCTGAGGGTCTCTATTGGGTCAGCTGAGGATTTCCTTACTCTGCACTGTCTCCTCACTGGTTCAGATCTCGCTAATTGGCCTGCCTCAATCCAGCCTTCCAAATAGCTTTTCCTGAAAGTTCCCACAATACCTCCCATCATCAGAGGCCAACGTGGTCGATAACTGAAATTAGTACCAACTTCAAAATATAAGATAAGTTAGTTTCCACTGAGCAAAGTTTCCCGTGGGGTTCCTGGAGGCCTTAGGTGGTATTGGGGTGCCCGCTGTATGGACTTTAAGACTAATCTCTACACTGGGGAAGATCTCAGATTTTATAGCCAATTAGACCTCCCAGCGTTTCAGACAGGTAAAAGCCACACTTCAAAAGGTGGATCAGAATATTTATGTTGAAAGAAAACAATTCATGGCATATTAAGCAGTTGTAGATCTTCTTTTTGACCATGTTGGAGTTGTATACAGAGCAGGGAATAACCAAACATTGCACGTAACTTTCCCCTGATTTTACGACTACAGAAAGCTTAATTGGAAAGGTGGCTTATATTGCTGTTTCTCTAGCCTCTGCCACAAAATATTTTAATGACATTTATCAGGTGAAAGGAACACATGATGTGTTTATGGGGGCAGCTAACATGTGATTGACAGGCATCCTGAACGGTGAATGGCAATCCAGGCTATCCCAAGGTTTTCTAAGTTTTACACATCTTCTAGTGAGTCTGCAGGTTACTATGACGGTGTTCCAGGCTAACTGTAAAAAGGGATATCTCTTTGTATCTCACCATTGAATTGCAAGCTATGGTCCTTAATCTCTGTGCCACTCTGAAAAAAGGCTATGACGCCAATATAGTTATCTTTAGTGCCTGAATTTTGAATTGTTTGATTTTGTTTGAGTCGGTTCTTGGAGACCCCTGTTAAGGGGTATAGTTCAGTTTCCTGGTCCTATCCTCCTGACGGTCAGCACATTAGCCTCTGTGAAGTGTTATATCCCCTCAAGAGTCTCAAATGCTTGTATGATGCCCTCCTTTGTACATGAAAAGGTCTCCTTACAGTTAGAATAACAAAAAGAGAAGAAAGCATAAAGAGTCGTCCAACTAATTGACATTACAAATTGTCAATTCCATACTGAGACAAAGCAAGTCCATTATCATGGTGTCTGTGTCCAGGGTTTTGGTCAATCTCTCAAAATTGTGAGGCTGACCAGAAGGGGGGAATTGTTCAATTAAATTAAATTTGGCCTAAAGCTACCTCTGTATATAGTAATCTACAACCTAACAAGCTGCAGACCAACTTTAGATTATATTCTTGCAACAAGTAGTCAAGTTTCAGCCACCCAGAGCGGCTGAGCTTTCAGCCAATCACAGGCTGAAAACTGCTGAGACCTGTCCAAACGAGGCACATTCTGAGCTGTAACCAACCAGGCTATTTCTGTATGTCACTTTCTTTTTCTCACTGTAAGTTTGCTTGCCCATGTTCCTGGGTGATGCTCTCTTAACTTCTAGTGGTTCAGGGTGCTGCCCTATTCTGAATCTGTTCCTTGCTCAAATAATCTCTGCTAAATTTAATTTCTTTAAAGTTTTTTCTCTTAACACCACCATCCATACTTCAGCTGATGCCCCTTACTCACCAACCTTCCCCACCCCACCCCTGAGTCTGGAAGCCTCCATCACTCTTTCCTCAGGGGGATCGCCAAATATCAATGCCGGAACCAGCCCACCCTGAGACCCCAGCCATCTGCATCTTACCCTCAGGAAGGACTTGAGTAGGCCTCCTCTGTCCATTTGCAGAAGGTTCCCCAACAACGGAAGAGGATGGGGACCTGGCGGGAGGTCTTCACGGGCCTTTGGGCGGCCCTTGACCAGGAGTAGCAAGAGGCCCATGAGGACTGCAAGGAAGAGGAGGACACTGAGCTCCATGGTCCCAGGCTGTCTTCTACCCCACTGCAGCCTCCAGCTGGGTCTTTTATCCTAAGCCTGCCTCCCCACTCAGTTATGAAACTTCATCCAGTCCCCGCCTCCCCTCTCATCCTTATCGGGGTATGTTAACTTAGAGGGATGGTGCGGGGGAATCTACACTTCCTGCTTGAGTGGCACTGTGACCTGTTCCCTGTCCCTTTACTCTCCCCCTAGATGCTGGCAGGGATACTGTGGTGAAGATACTAAAGTCCACAGGAGCATGTGAGTGTGTGGGGGTGTCAGTGTATTCATGTGTGTTTATTTTTGTGGGTGTGGGTGAGCATGCACTTGTCTACTTAGTTGCCTGCTTGTTTATGCTTGTGTGTATTTGACTGCCTGCTTGTATCTGTGTCTGTGCTTATATAATGATTTTTATATATGAAGTGGTGTTTGTATTTATGTGACTCTGCTAGAGTGTGTTTCTCTGTACTAGTGTGGGTATGCTTATGTGTGTATTCTTGCATGTGAGGGGGTTCTGTGTATTTATATAATTTCATATTTGAAGGTGCGCTTGCATTTGTGTGGTGGAGGTGGTGGTGGTGTATGTTCAAAACTGAGCAGCTGACCGAAAGGAGGGAATTGTTCAATTAAATTAAATTTGCCCTAATGCAGCCTTTGTAACCTGGCGAATTGTATTCTAACTTAGACTGCAAGAGACTGTGTGTGCTGTGTGTGTTTGTGCTTGAGTGTTGGCGCATGTCCTAGCCCCTGTCTTTGTAAGTCCTACAGATATTCAGTATCTATTCACAGTGTCCCCTCCTTCACCCCCACTTCTGTGACAGCCACAGGTGGAAGTAATGGGAGAAAGAGAAGGAGGGGCAAGAGATGCAGAACTGGTGAGACTTGCAGGAAGGGTCAGGTGGAAAGAGCTGGAGAGACTGAGACATGCCATGTGGAGTGGTCAGATCCTCTTGGTCTCTGAAAGCTCTGGCTAGTGCTGGGCAGTTCACTCCACGCCTCTGGCTAGCTTCAGAGTGAAGGAAATTTCTCTGACACTGTCTTCCTGCCTCCTTCTAACTTCATATCTCTGTTTTCCACATTAGACTCTCAGTCCTGGAGTGCAGAGACTGGGTCCACTTTGATTGATGTCCCCTGGCTCCCATCTTTCTCCACTGATGTTCCTTGGGTCCCATCTGTCTCCATTGCATGGCCCCTGGCTCCCATCTCTCTCTATTGTCTCCCTCCACTGTGAGCCGGTACCCATCCAGCCTCCGGCAGGTTCAGTCAATATTTTCCAAATATGGGAAAAAATGTGTCCATGTTCACTTGTCTCTGCCCGGCCATGACTTTCCACCATCAGGTAGGAACATTTTTGCAATGTTAAGCAAACCCCTGCTGGACCCAGGATCATGACCTTGGCAGTGACTTCGACCCAGGAGGGAGGTACAGAGAGATTATGTTTTTAAGGGGTGGAGGGTGTACTTTCCTGACCTTGGAAACCTACCAGCATGGACTCTCTTGAACCTAGGACTTCGATCTTGCTCTGCTATGTGATGTGACACTAAGCTTAGGTCCTGATCCAGCCCTGGTGGGAAGGCATGAAATGCTTTACCCTCAGTAACTCAGTCCTCAC